TTACTCTGAAGCACATGTGCTATCTCCACCCGTGTACATAATGGTCGTATGCTAAATAAGAGCCACCTATGAAAGTACTCCGACCAGTTTTAACACTTATGTAGACTGCCCTTATGGAGTGATAAACTACAACTTTCACGAGATTGCTTTGAGTTTGCTATCGTCATTGTCCTTGCGTGGAAGAAAGGCTGAGGCTGGTGTCTCAAAAAGCTCAGGGAAGCAGCTGAAACTTTCCCTCTTGAGCCCCCAATTCTAGGTAAGTTACAGAAGGTACCTAACCCTAGAAAGGTAGGTACCGTAAGGTAGTTTCTAAAACGGTTGAGTTAGACTGATATTATTAGTGGCCTCAGGTAAGGGTCATGTCCTTGAGAAGCGCCTAATCATCGACAGTCCCAGTAATCTAACCACTAGAATCCACAAGATCGGAACTTAGTCTACCTTACTATCTTACCTAGATATATATTAATACTGTCACTCGACAAGATAGGTGCGCCGTGCGGACTAACGGCCCAAGCCGATCAGCATTGATCAAAGTCCACCATTGAGAACAATCTGCTAATCCTCCACAAGTGGTGGCTGGTATGATATTTGGGGCTTGTTCGTCTCACTCTTACACTTCCCTTGACTTTGTTTCCTTCATCTCCACGTAATTACGGTGTTCCAGTGACTTTCTCTCCCTTCCCACCTCACGCCCTCTCCAGGTGTCAGTTGGCCCCTCCCTTTCCCTTTCGGCGACCTAGGTTTGTTCCTACAACATCACTGGAATACTGCCCTGTTGCCCGTGCTGTTTAACCCACGGTGTCCCCACGAATGCAGTCTACCTTGAGCGGTTCGTCTCGCTCCCAGCGAAGTCCACCTCGACACGTTCCCGCTGGGTCTGCGAGCAGTGCCGATTCCGCCATGACCTCGCAATCTTCCGCACCACGCAGTTCATCCAGCTCGGGCAGGTCTCAGTCGTCAAGGACTGTTGTGGTAAGCTTATTCCCCCCTCTGTCGTGCTTTCCGACTGTGTTTTTCGAGATACTAGCTTGGTTCTTTGTTTTTCTGCCTTGTTTGCGCTAACGACGCTTTCTCTGTTCGAATCCTCACAGCCGGATAGACAAATTTCCCAAATCGAGAAAAGTGTCACCCATCTCCTTGTCGCTACAAAACAACTACTGGAGACCTTGACTCAATGGTCTCGAAGACAGGCGTCTGAGAACGAAGTCTCAGACGTCTATGTACGACTGGGTTATGAATTTAACCTAGCCTGCCGCGCCTTCAATGCGATTGGTGTTGATACATCCGACCTGGGCCCAGTGCCTGACCTCCTCCGCACAATCCTCGAAGATACACTGAGCCAGGATGCGTCTCCTCAGAGCCTCGATCGATATTTGCCTCGTATTCGTGACATAATTATCAACCTCCTCCATGGTCTCAAGAAGAAGCAGGCTCGCTTGCGCTCGCGGCAGCAAAGGGAAGAAAGCCGCCCCTTACCTGGTCGGCAGGCAAGCTCGGGGAGTGCCGTTATAAACCAGATGTATGAGGAAGCCGCAGCCACCGCCAGTTCGCCGAAAAGGCCAGGTAGTCGTCGGCATGGAAGCAATGGCTCACTCGAAGACCAGTCCGGCGGGGCTCATGCTGGTTCTACAGTGCAGCCTTCAAGCGACACGAGGGGTACTAGCTACTCGGAGAGGGAAGCGTCAAGACGAGAAGCGCAGCAGATCCTATCTCAGCCATCGCAACCTGAGGCCGAAACTTCCTCCAAGGTAGCCATGCCTTCACCCGACTTCTCTGGTTATCCTACTCCTCCCCCTCCACCCCCTCCCCCCAAGCAGGACGATGCTCTGGGTGCCCTCCAAAGAAGTGGAGAACTAGAAAGACGAGCCTCGCGGCGGTTTTCTGCCTACCAGATACAGAAACATTTGGGAGCATCGACAAATGGTGTCCCCGTTCTGCCAACACAGAATTCTCCCGTCCCGAATCGCGGTCGTGATGTCCGCGAATCTTTGAATGCAGTACGCTTGCGAGGGTCTTACGCACACGGGAAACAACGGTCGACGAATCGTCCGCAAGATGCGGTTACCCCAAACAAAACCGCGAAGCCATTGCCATCCTCTCACCTTGCGCAAGGAGGAGAGGGCGAGCTCGCCAAGGCTCGCACCGCATCTCCGACATACTCTCAGGCAAATGCTTCCGTTGCATCCCAAATACGTCCGGACAAAGTGCCACTCCGGTCTGAAGATGGTACGATCGATAGCCCTACAGTCGCCGGAAAACAGCCCGGGCTGCCTCAGTCTGCCGAGGAATCATCCCTGGCAGAGGCGTTTGAACCGACCAAGGATTCTTCCATACCCAATGAAGGAGTAGCGCCGAGCACACCAAGCTCAACCATCCAACGACCGTCTACCGGTGTATCAACTCCACCGCAGACCTCGCAGTTTGCATCTGAACAGCCGTCCCCCGGAAAAGAACTTACCTTATTTTTACAGTACAAAAGCAAGATCAAAAAATATGTTCTTCCCGAAGGCTACAGCGGTTTGACCATCGGAAGACTGCAGCTTGCGTTCATTGAGAAATTTGCGTGGAATACGCACAACAACGGGGTTGATCTGCCGGAGATCTATATTCAAGACCCGATCTCTGGGGTGCGGCATGAATTGGAAGATTTGAGTGACGTCAAAGATAGATCGGTTCTTGTCTTAAATGTGGATATACTTGACGAGGTCAAGAAGCATTTCGATGATGAGCTTGGAGGTGTTCGTCGTCTGATTGAAGGCGTTAAAGGTTCTCTTGAAGGACAAGAAAGTATCATCCAGCGCGTGTCAGACCGTCAGTTAGAGGCCGCAAAGGAGATTGCTCGCCTGGCCGCCGCGCCCCCAGTCTCAATTCCAACTTCTCTTCCAGACGGAACCGCTCGGAAGGGCCCCATTACTGGAAGTAGCAGCCAACTGGCTGAGCTTCAGAGTCTGAAGCGTGATCTTGCAGTGATACGGCAGACATACTCGAATTTCTCTTCGGATATTGCCAGCTCCATGAATGCGATTCGTGCTAAGGCAAATGGTGTGAAATCTGCAGCTGCAGATGTTGCCGTGCCGTCCTATGAAGGAGATGCTGGTCGCGCCCGTGTCAACGCCGGCAAAAAGGAACTCGCAGATGAGTCGGAACGGCTCGTTGGGCGCGTCGACGACCTTCAGGATCTGGTTGAAGATCTTCGTAAAGACGTGGTATCACGTGGAGTCCGACCCCTCCCAAGGCAGCTAGAAAGCGTCAGCAAAGAAATTAGCGCCGTCACCAAGGAGATGAAGAAGATGCAAGAATTCCTGAAGCGGGAGAAACCGATTTGGACGAAGATTTGGGAGAAGGAGCTCCAGCTTGTGTGCGAGGAACGCGATCAATTAACCATGCAGGAAGACCTGGCCGCGGATCTTGAAGATGATCTCGAGAAGGCCGCTCAGACTTTTGCTCTAGTTGAACAGGCTACCAAACAGCAGGCGTTGCAGCAGAATGTCAACGGAGGCGTTGCTTTGCGAAATACCTCGCGCAATGTGGTTATTGACCCAGCGGTCGACCCCATGAAGGCAAAGGATGACGTTCTGGGTGAGGTTCGCGCACTCCAGCCTAATCATGAATCGCGATTAGAAGCGATCGAGAGGGCAGAAAAGGCTCGACAGAAGGAACTCGAGAATCGTCGGATAGGGCTTTTCCAGAAAGAGCTTGGGGCGTTTGTACAAGAGGGAAAGCTGAAGAAGAGTGGCGGTGTGGAAGAAGCTGAGCGACAACGTCGAGTCAAAGATGATCGTATCCGGAAGGAGGTTTGGGAGAGACAGCAAGCCCGAGCAGCGGAAATGGAGAAGGCAGAAGCGGAATCGGCAGCGGCAGCGGCAGCTTCTGCCCAACCTGAGCAGTCAGACCAGTCTGAACAAGCTGAGCAGCCTTCAATCAGAGATTCGACAGAAGATAACACGGAAGCAAGCGCCGACAATGGAGACTCGACGAGCAAGGGCGAGGAAAAGACAACACCTTCGGCACAGGCCTCGGCGTCAGAAGCAATCAACGGAGAGGGAGAAGATACTAAGGAGGACGAGCCAGCGACAAGTGAAGGCCCAGTAGACTCGTCAACATAATAACTCCTGTTGTTTGTTTGTCTACGCCATTGAGCACGTCAAACGACCTCGTCTACCCCTACCAAGTTCTCTGAGAGCACTTGGCCGCACCAAAGCAGCTCGTTTGCGATTTTTGTATTTTTGTATTACTTTTCATTCTTTCTCTTCCCTTCCCCTTCCACAGCCATCTCACTGCACTTTGTTCTATCATGCCAGTACTCTGTCTATCCAAGTTCATCTGTGGTTTTCTCCGTGTCATTACATTGTTCTAAAGCGTGAGCATTGCATGTTGCTGACGATACCCCTGCCCTCATACGGCGTGTTATGACCCTTGTGACGATACTATTGTCCTTGCATCCTTTGACATATTGCAGCCTCAAGTAATTTATACTACCTCAGCGAGGAATAGAATATGTGCATACTGTGAAAGACGTAGACCTCCCATGGGCAGTAAGGAAGACACTACCTAGGTATCTAATCTCTCGTAATATCAATACATACGTTCATGGATTCGATACTCGGTTGCGGTGCATAAAAAGCGGTGAGTAACTATCCTCTGTATTGCCAGCAGAATCAGGTGTTGAGTCCCCAGCCACATGTTTATTATTGAGGAGTATTTTCATGTTTCAGGCCTGCAGAGGGCTGTTATTTTGCTTCTTTTCTTCTATACTAATGAGAGCCCTATACAGACTTCACACCTTGAGAACCACTGTATCTACTGTTGTCAAGTCTCTGTCTTGGTTGATTCTCGACTGCTATTCTATTTGGCGGCCTTATCGATAGCACCTGAAAGCCCGGGTTAAGCTATATACCTGTGCTTGATCGACGACTCATTGTCGCTTTGTAAGATGGTCCCATCTGCCGTTTAAGACTAAGATACTAACCGAGTCAAAGCTACGGAGGGTACACGGATCGATGTGGCCCATCCGTTTCATAGTCTGGGCCTTAGGACCCGCATCGATTCCGGTGCATGCCTTCTCAGCGAATGGCAGCTCATCTTCAATCCCAGCCATCAAAGATGACTGCCGGCGGAGTGACGACTTGCAGCTTGATTTCCCAAAGGCAGTCATTCGCGGTGTCAAGAAGATGTCCGAGGATGAGGGGGAGAAGTTTTTCTTTGATTATTGGGACTTTGAAGGGGCGGACGAGGTTGGTCTGACAGCAACGAACGAGACGTATAGCCCTCAAAGCTACGACAACCACGAGGCACCGGAGATCCAGCCTCGGGTATATCCATTTCGGCCGTCGGTGCCGACTAATATGGGCTTCAGCCCGCTGTTTCGGCGAGATTTCAAGTGCCCGACTGGCACTTTCGCTTGTATGGCGATTGACCGGCCGAACAGCTGTTGTGGCGCTGGAGATACCTGTGTCCTGGTCCAGGACACTGGGTTGGGCGACGTAGGCTGTTGTCCTCAAGGCCAGACTTGTTCTGGCGTCATCGGGTCCTGTCAGCAGGGGTACATGAGCTGTCCGGCTTCCATGGGAGGCGGTTGCTGTATTCCCGGCTATGAGTGTGTCAGTGGCGGATGTAAGTTTCAGGTTGTTGACTCTGAGGCTCGGGTTGAGCCTATTTGCGTCACAGGCTGATTAATGTTCATTTGCACAGGTGCCAACGTCTTCACGGTGACGATAACCTTGAGTTCCACCGTCATAGTGTCCACTGGTACTCGGACCGTCCCTCCAGAGACTACCCAGTCCTCGAGCAGTAGCACTAGCAGCAGCAGCAGCAGCAGCAGCAGCACAACACAATCCACAGGCGGACTGACACCTCCAGCTCGACCTACCAGCCTCTCCACCGCCACCACCTCCCAGAGCAGCCAGACAGGCTCAATCTGTCCAACCGGGTTCTATGCGTGTTCTGCTTATTATGAACGAGGCTGCTGCCGCACAGGACGAGACTGTGACACTACTTCCTGCCCTGCGAAGGCATCGTCGACCATCACGTCGGACGGTCGTACCATCGTGGTGCCAGCCCAGACGACTACTGCGGCCAGCGGAACGGGACGATGCGCCAGTGGCTGGTTTAGCTGTGCAGACACTGTGGGTGGAGGATGCTGTCCAACTGGGTATGCATGTGGTTCCAGCTGTACCGCTGTAGCAAGTGTATCTGCTAGCGGAACCCTGGCCAAGGGCCAGCCAGAGAATGCAGCCAGCCGACACTCGATCAGGGCGATATGGGCAATTGGTGCTCTAGGGATGATGATGTTGTGGATATAGACTCCCTGATGACTGAATGAGTTTATGCGTAATGACAATAACAATAGAATGATATATCGTCCCCTAAGTATCTCTAGAAGTAACAGTTAACGGCTGTTATCGGGTAAATGAATGCGGAAAAACAGACCCCGTGGGGCGGTTCCTGAGGACAAGACGGCACGTGGGGGCAGCGAATATTACCCGATCGGGACGACCCCCGGTGAGCAAGCACCGACACTCTCCGACACCGCAGAACCTAGTTTACTATCTTCACCACTGCTTCACGCTCAAGCTTGCGTTCAATTATTTTGCTTTCCCTGCTGGTGTCAGGTCTGTGTTGGCTTTTTATAGTTCTTTTGGCCTCTTTTTCTGAAATTGATTAGGGTCTGGTCGCTTACCATTTCTTTGTTTATCTCACGCCGAATAATCGCTTGCCCACCATGTCGTCCAGCAACCAAAAGCCTCTTCCGTTTGCCTACCAGTTCGCCGCTGGAGCTGTCGCTGGTGTATCAGAGGTATGAACTCGCTGAGGTCTATTGGCCATTCTGTTCTCGAGTGCTAACTCCGCGGTGCTTCCAGATTCTTGTCATGTATGCGATTCCTCGGTCAAGCCCACCCATAACCTCACTTTAGCCCGTTAACGAATGCGATTCCAAATTACACAGGTACCCATTGGATGTCGTCAAGACACGAGTGTAAGTGCTCTGGAATCTCTGCACCCGCCAATGCGATCGTGCGAAGTCGGGTTGAAAGGAAGCGCAGCTGACATGGGCTCATCATGCCACAAACCACAGGCAACTTCAATCCAATGTCGCTACCTCCGCTGCAGAGGAAAGATACAATGGCATGTTTGATTGTTTCCGCAAGATCATCAAGAACGAAGGGTAGGCCATATGCACATATGCACGGAATTCTTCCCGTCCCTATTAGACGGGAGGAATGACCGGTGAATGTCGGAAGCTAATCATGGGACTCTGAGCAGATTCTCACGTCTATACCGCGGTATCTCGGCCCCCATCTTGATGGAGGCTCCCAAGCGTGCGACCAAGTTCGCCGCCAACGACAGCTGGGGCTCGTTCTACCGGGGCCTGTTCGGCGTGCAGAAGCAGACACAGTCGTTGGCCGTGCTGACAGGTGCCACCGCGGGCGCCACCGAGGCCTTCGTGGTCGTGCCCTTTGAGCTGGTCAAGATCCGTCTGCAGGATCGCGCCTCCGCAGGCAAGTACAACGGTATGCTGGACGTGGTGCGCAAGATCATCGCCACGGAGGGCCCTCTTGCCATGTACAACGGTCTCGAGTCGACGCTGTGGCGTCACATCCTCTGGAACGGCGGCTACTTCGGCTGCATCTTCCAGGTCCGCGCGCAGCTCCCCGCCCCCGAACCCGGCAACAAGTCCCAGCAGACCCGCAACGACCTGATCGCCGGTACCATCGGTGGTATCGCCGGTACCGTCCTCAACACCCCCATGGACGTCGTCAAGTCGCGCATCCAGAACTCCCCCAAGGTCGCCGGCCAGGTGCCCAAGTACAACTGGGCCTGGCCTGCCGTTGGCACCGTCATGAAGGAAGAAGGTTTCGGCGCCCTCTACAAGGGTTTCATCCCCAAGGTGCTCCGTCTGGGTCCCGGTGGTGGTATTCTGCTCGTTGTTTTCACGGGTGTCATGGACTTTTTCCGTAAGATGCGTGGCGAATAGAATATGTATTCCATTTAGCAAAAAATGATTTAGATGAATCGACATGTCTCACTGACATAGTAAAAGTCTACGATGGTGAAACGCGCTGTAAATAGTGACGATCGTAATAAGCCGGCGTATATCTCCTACAGAAGCCGGCCAGTATCTATTTACCAGGTCATACTCATACGCGGGAAACATTGTGTCAGTCATATTTAAAAGGCCTTGATGGATTAGAACAACTGATAGCACTAATGATTAGTAATCGAGGGCAGCCTCGTCAACAACAACAGTCAAAAGGTACATTGCAAAGCCGTAGCGCAACAAATCCGCGTGTAATACGAAAAGTATCCGAAACAGGCAGAGAATAGACAGCCGTGTATGTCAAGAGGAGAAAGGGAAATAGGGTATCGATATAAAGGTAAACAGAACATATGCCGGAGATTGAAAAAGAGAAACCAAGGCGAGTCAACAGATGGTGCGAGGACCGTTGCTGGTGTGAGATTACCGCTGAGGAAAACAAAACACTGTAGTCATTCATAAGCCGGTGCTATGCAGCGAAATCGACGTCGAGATGCAACATAACACCGAGGTCTGGAAAAGCTGGAAAGCATGAAAAGGAAGAAGGAAATAGAACAAACAAGGTAGATCTTGAACGGACAAACCCATGAATATAAAACAATAATCAGATACACTCGATAGCCCAAACAATAACAAGCGACAGACGATGAAAACATTAGATCCGGATGGTACCGTCGAAAATGACGAGATGTCAAGACTTCGTACGCCGGTCAACTGCTGAACCCTATCCCTCCGTGTGACGCCTGTGTATGCAATATGTCATGACATGCACTCGTAGAAATAATGATCGATTGAGTTGCGATCCCACAGAAAGGAAGAGATTCTTTACTGCATCTCCATTGCGTACTCATCTTCTTCCTTGAAGCTCATTCCCGCGTGGCCGGAGCTGTTCCAGTATTGTGCTTGACCCGAGTTCCCGCCGTTGCTGCTGCCACCACTGTTGTAGGACGGGCTGAGACTCTGCGGGCTCAGCGCCCCGTTCTGGGAAATGGGCTCGCCCGCTAAGTTGGTATGCTTGGGCACTCTCAAGCCGCTGCCGGGTCCTCGGCTGTAAGTGAAGGTGCTAGGATCGTTCTTCTCCAAGGCGTCCAGGATCTCACTCCGCATGCGCTTCTCCTCCTCCGTTTGTTCAAACGGCCAGGTGCCTCCGAGACTAGTGATCAACTCCGCGAGCTCAGACTCCTGCTGCAGCTTAACGTGCAGAGCCCACATCAAGTCGCGCATCCAACCCACGGCACCATTCAGGATGTCACCCTTGTTAGGGCCCTTCTCCTTCTCCTCGATGGGAAGACCCATAGTGATATTACCAGCAGTAGCACGACGGCCATTGCCACCGGCCAGGAGAGAGGTGGCTGCGTTTGAACCGGATCCATTCCCTGACATGGCACTGTTATTGACGAGCTGTTTCCGGACCTTGTCATCCTCCAGACGATGTTGCGGTACGAGGTGCGAGAGATCCTGAATACGCTCGTTGATGTTGTCTCGCCGACGGCGCTCGACCAGGTTGTGCGAAGCTCTCCGGCGCCGACGCTTTGCTTCTTGCGATTCTAAATCCTGGGCGCTGCCCGGCATGTGTGTATCAACCTTGGCGGGCAAAGAGGCATGCTTGCCAGACTTGAGGATCTCCGAGATGGCGGCATGATGAGAGGGATGGCCCGGCGATGAAATGGGGGACTCCATACCGAAGGAGTGAGCGCTTCCGGGAGTGCCATCCCACTGGTTGGACAGAGTCTTCTGATGCCGTGGTTGCAATCCAGTACGGATCGGTTGTGTAGGGAAACTACCAGATTCCGGGGTTCCAAGAGTCAGGGCACCCAAAGCCGGAGTTTTAGGGGTCATGGGACTGCGTCCATCGGAAGATGTGCGGTCGATCGCCTGTAGACTCGGGCGTGCCTTGGAGTTAAGGTAGCTCTGCTCGAAATGGGAACCCTGAAGATGGGAGGAATTGTGTTGTTGCTGGTTCAGACCGCGGAAATGATCATAATTGAAACTGTGCATGAAGGGGCTGTGCATCGGAGCCCCTTCAGGAGTGTTGGAATACATCTGCGACATATGGCCGGGATGACTCATAGAGATGCCAGCACCGGAGTGGTCCTGCATGAAATTCATACTGGTATCTCGTGGGAGCCCATTCTGACCGTTGATTTCCAGGTCCAGCAACTCGTCTGTATCGATTCCAGAGTTTCCAAAGTTGAAGCTTGATGACATATTCTGTTGTGAACCGAACGGGTAGGACATGAAACCGCTGTTCTGCATGGTCAGCTCCGAGGGATCCACGGCCTCGTTGGAATTTCCAAATTGGTTGTTTATGGAGTAGCCGTTCTGCGACATCATGAAGTGGTTGTTGTTGTGATCGTCTGGGTCGCTCTTGATGAAAATGCTCGCTTCGCTCATAGCGTTTGAGCAAATAGCATAGACTGACGCCCCGAGATCAACTCAAGAAGAATATAGTACTCGAAAGTTAAGTGGCGATGGAATTGAAGGTCTCAGGGATGTAGCGGGGATTGCGACAAGATGTAAATCCCGGATACTCGAATGGCGAAATGAAGTAATTCTATGGAGATGCACCGACAAATCTGTTAGTGCATCGAGAAGGGTACGTGATGATCACTTTAAGTGGATATGAAAGCTGTCGGTTGTCTGCAAGGCGACCGTCAGCTGGCTAAATTCCAAGAAGAAAAGGAATCGTCCAGAGATGTGAGGGGGCTGCACAATGCATGCGCCAATGAAGGAAAACCCCCAGAGAAGAATAGGGATGATAGTACGTACGCTTGTATGGATAAAAGGAGAAAATGATGCTGGCAGGATGAAGTTGGGTATATTAATGCGGGACAAGTGGCTGTGTGAACCGGTCAAGGGATGTGATTCGGAAGCGGGCGATTCGGAGAATGCGCGCGTATCGTGGGGGGTGTACTCCGTACTAGCCTACTACTAGGCCACACCGACGATCGTCAACCACGCGAAGAATGATGAGTCAAGGTCTCGGCAGCCCTAAAAATAAGCAACAGGCAAATGAGAAAAGCACATAAAAATTATGAGGCAATAAATCATAAGAAAGCCCGATTCGGAAGATAGAGAGAAATAAGTCAATCGAGGATCGGAGGATGAGGATGCGTTGTCCAAAAGGAATTTAGTTGAAGAGAAGGGGTGACGATGGTTGTGGCCGGAATATTCAAAAGCAGTCGTAAAAAGGAGAAGAGGCGGCCAGACCAAAGCGGACAAGAAAGGGACAGACAGATAGAGAGAGACAGAGACCAGAGACCAGAGACAGAGAGAGACCGGGTCCGAGGAGGCGATGTGGGTTTATCTGTCGGGATTTGGGGGGTTGAGCCACGATAAGGGAGAACCATCAAAAAAGCAATGTTGGCTGAGCCTTTCGAGGCGAGCAATGTATTCGCAGGCAGACAACTCCGCGGTGCCTCTCTCCTTTATCTTCTTGCGTTGTCCCTGGTTCTTTTCTTTCAGTTCTTTTTCCCCCGCGGTCCTTGGAGGATATGACAGATCTTAGAGCAAGATGGGCTCAAGTGAGGGGAGATGGACAGTGGGGTAAGCCTGGTGAAATATTGGACACTGGACTGCGGAACCCGGGGAGAGGCGGTGGGCAACAAATCGATCAATATCAATCCCGTAGAGACGACTCGTAACAATACATCCAATCAATGAAAGTAAAGCAGTCCCCGATTGACGACTGTTAATATCAGGACCATTGATTTGGATCGATCGTTTTGTCTCGCTGAGCATGAGAGGGGTGGAGGGGAAAGGATTGTCCCCAGAAGGCGGTCAGAGCGACAACATGTGGAGTTTGCGACCACTTAAATCGATTACAGCGCAATCCACGAATGTGCTCAGCGATCGCTCTTTGGTGCTGTTTCTTGTGTCTCCCGGTTTCAGATCATGTAATGAACGCTTGTCCCTTGCGTATCATGCTCATGCAAAGCGAAGCACTTCTTTCTTTCTCCTCTCGCCCGCTTTCCGGCGGGTGTGAGACGGAAATCCAGGCCCAAAAGGGTAGACCTCCGTATCCTAAAGCAAAGAGTACTAGGTTGCCCCTCTGAAGCTCAGCCCTTGGGTAGGATGTCCGAACAAGGAAATGGCGAATCAGCGCTGCCACAAACTCTTCAGCAGAAATCTGCGAACAGCTTCGGCTCGCGTTTCTCCCGACGGTTTCCCCTGCAGAGCTTGATGCAAGCGAGGTTGTGCAGCAGATGGATAATGCTGTAAGATGTTGTCCATAGCGAGGGATCTTTTCCTAGGATTTGGCGTAGATTTCCTTGGCTCACTCATATCCATTCCGAAGAGGAGGGGTAGGTATAATCCGCCTTGTTTCTCAATACTGCCTTGAGTGGAAGAAGGTAACCACCAGGCATCGTGGCTTGTCGCGTCTCATGTTGATTATCTTGCATGGAGGGATCCCCGCATGGATCTTTTACCCGGACCGCCTCTCTCCAGGCCTCATAATAATTGATCTCCAGGGTACGGCAGCAATGACAGAGATGAAATCATATCGAAGAGAAGAAAATAAAATATATTCACTTACCACGCGACGACTTGAACTGTGTTGATTATAGCACTCTAATGGGATCTGTTTTGGCAGCGCAGATCAGCTCTGATCCCTCAGGAGTGGACGCTCTTCCATTCACAGAACATCAGGAATACGACGAGGGTGAGATGACGCCAGGGGGTTTTTGAAGAGAAGCACACGTGGCTGAGCCGCAGCTCCAAAGAGCCCAATCAGGCGAACAGGCAGAAGCGCAAGAGCCTTACCCTTTGTGAAGCTGGTGCCGGGGCAAAGAAGGGGCAATAGCAAGTACAAGACGTTGAGAGGAACGCAGAGCAAGACGAGTCCAGGGAACAGACAGACGCAGAAGGAAACAGAGGTAGCCGTGAGGCTCAGCTAGGATGGATAGCTTACAGTTGCTTGAGGTTATCCGCTTGGTACACGGGAAAGTCGGGAGCCAGGATGAGAGGGCTCGAGCTCAAAGGAGCAATCAGGATGGATTCCGCGGCAAGAACTGCAGCGAACTGGTTTGATTTGATTTCGGTCCGTCTTCTGGCGAATGATGAATTGCATGAAGAGGAATCGAATCGGATTCAAGCGGGGTGTTGGGGATAGTGGGTAGACAAAAAGCAGATGTCCTCTGACCAGGACAATGAATCCAGACGATAACTGTGAGAGGTGAGTGATCAGTAATCACGAATGATCCTTTTCGACGGCCTTTGCAGAATGGAAAGGATGAAGGAATGAAGGCTTTAAGGACTTCTCGAGGCGCTCCTGGGAAGCTCTTATTTGATATAGCACGGTGATGGTCATGCAGGGTGTCGATCGTCTATCGATGAGGCTTGATGCCGCTACAGCATTACGTACCTTGATTGCCTATTTATCGCAAAATAAAATTATTTATTCTTTCTATTTATTAATTTTATTTTTTATTTACTAGAGTATTGAATTATCAGATAATTCTTCTGCGGGTTGATAAATGAAGGTAAAAAAAAGATAAAGAGTGGTGTGGACCGACCAGTGGCGATGCGGCATTGGTGAAGGAAGTATGTGATGATGGAGGGTCAACCAAAGTGATGAATCCCATACTGCAATTTCATTATATGGGATTTATTCACCAAAGGAGGGGGGAAGACAAAAACGATGGTGTATGGAGGGTGTTACAGTCCGGATCGAGAAAGACGACGAGGTAGTTGTGGCAGATCTGGACAAGAGGAGGATCTCAAGTCAAGTATATTATGGCATTATTGACCTCCATCTTCATAAGGTCGGCATTCATCCCATGAGCAGCCCAGTACGATGGCTGTCACCTGTTCGTCCTCAACAAGGGAGTCATGACTCACTCTCATGGTCAGCCTCTCTGCCTTGCTTTCATGATAATTCCTTGGTAGCAATGTATCAGATGTCCAGCCTGGCTAAAAGAATACCCTACATACCATGCCTTCCACTCTCGATCATGAATTATACATAATTCTAGTGAATGATCACTCCTTGAACGAAGAACAGACAGAATGATCAAGCAATGTGAGTATTTGATATTGAATCTAATTGGATCTAGAGCTCTTCACCTTTCTCACGAAGCAGGCATGACATCATCTCGCCAACTTATTCTACCGCATTGCGATGACCATTATTTCTGCTCTAGAGCATGTATGCTGCTCACCCAAATATTTTGGCCGAAATAGGAGACTCACCGATGGGTCTAAAAGAGGTGGAGGGGGGAAAAGTACTCCGTAGACTCGTATGCAGAGTCAAGAATCAAGTATCAAGAATGTCTGATTCGTGGGACAACCACCATGTGGAAGGGTTGAGCTAGTGAAAAGGCAACCGTCGTCGTTAGTTTCCTTTCTCTCTCCTGTGATTCTATCTCGTCTCTTTTTAAGAACTATGTATAGAGGCACTAGGAAGATCGACGATTTCGACAGGCTGGAATCCATACCCGGAGGAATCGCCAGTGCGCTATGTGGTGTGGCCTGTGGAGGGGCTCAACCATTTCACTTTCAGCGCGAGACTTGACTTTCTAGCTTGTGGTGCTGAGGTGGTGTATTTGCAAGACTGCCATGTTCGTATCAATTGGTGCTTGGGCCCAGACGAGCTGGAACAATAAGACTGCGAGGATTCATCATCCGTCCTTCTCTTGTCTTGACTCGCCACTTGTCCGAGCGCTTCAAAGCTGAGTACGGAGTTAAGCCCAGTCTCCAGTCCACAGCTTTGAACCTAGTAATCTGCTTTAGTCTAACAATCTCGTTAGTCTCCAAGAGGTCCGTGACACCCTGCAAGGTGGTGTATCATGCCGCTTTCCGAGATGCGTCCTGCACCCCGAACTACTAGACACTAGAGACAACACTAGGGATATGGTGATGGTCCAACCAGGCTTGTCCTCTCCTCTCATACTCCGCCCTATCTTATCACTATTTTGAGGATCGAGCGAAGAAAGGCATGTATGCGAATATCGACGGCTGTCGCGCTTCATACCTCGATCTTTTTCCGATTAGATCATGATTTGGAATACTGTCGTCAGAAGAATGCGGGGGGAAGCTTATTAACCGGAATGCTGTCAGCAATGGACATCACAAACCCGCTTTTTTCACTCATATTTGATCAGATAGAGAAGAATCTACAACTAGCCAAGTGGCTGATTTCTGATTTTGGTTGTTGACCATAACTATGAAGTCATGGTTCTCAGCTGGTATTTAACGGTTCGCAAATGGTAAGCTCATGCAGTATATGCTCAATCACTTCAGCCTCCTACCTGAGATGACCACAGTGGAGTCTTTAAGGTAGGCAGTCAGAGCCATACATCGCTCTACACATCTCTTTTTTTGACCTCTTTCACTGATATTCAAATATCTACAGTTTACTCCTTTTCCTTCCTTTTCGAAATCCATGACTAGGC